TACTGTTTGTGCAAGGTTTCTGTAACGCTGCAGCTAATTGACGAGCTGTCCAATGCATCTCAGTTGTGCAGTTGGGTATGTAACCACAACTCAGAGCCTGTTTCCACTGCAAGAATAAACCGGCAGTGCAAGCACATTTTCTGGATTCGTGCTTAAGTCACACGGACTCACTCTACCATCACCAATGCCTTCATCTACTGTCAAGTGGGTCTGATGGGGGGAGCGGGGAGCAGGGGAGAGAATGGAAAGGGAGAGGGAGGAGGATGAGTGGGAACGGGGCAAGGATTTTTTCCTGGCAAACCCAGTACATAAGTATGAACACACATAAATGCACATACACACATAGAGGAGAGAGAGGTACAGTGAGGGAAGTGTGAGGGTGGTCTCCCACACTAGATGCAAGAGACTCAAACCTTCTACCAGAATGAAAGCTAGTGGAGGAGGAGGAACCACCCTTTCCTTTGGGCTCCAGTTCCTGGAGCAACTCTCCCCATGGATCCCCATGGTTTTTATATGTAGGATCACCCCAAACCAGAGAAAACGGATCCTCATGAGTTATATAGGATTAGCTCAAAACACAAAAAAGCATGGGTCCCAGGCATGGATCACCATAGATCGCCACAAATTTTATCTATAGGATTACCCCAAAGCACAAAAACATGATTCCCTGGCATGCCATGGATTGGAAGTCTGTGGGCACTGGTGGGACCTATAATTTGATGGTAAGTTGTTGAGGATCCCATATAAAAATAATATGAAAATGGAAAGGAGCAAGGGATGAGGGTGGTGACAGGTGACTGAGGGGAATAGAAAACAAGAAGTATTTGGTGGGGGTGAAGAGGAGATGTTGGTTGAGGAATGGGGCAAAAGGGGAGGAAAGTGGTGGGGGCTGAAAGGGGAGGCAAGGAAGGTTTGACTTGGCTGACTGGAGGTTGTAAAAACGAACAAACAAAGAAACACAGATCAGGGGCATTCATATATGTGGAAGCGATTCTTTGGAATCCGCTGCAAAATAAGCAGACCTCTGGCAGAAAGCAGAAAAACTCTCTTCTCTGACAGAGCAGTCCACTTGTGCATGCGCCTTGTGTGTACACTTAAGTTTGAGTCATGGTTTTTTGTTTGTTTTTTTATTTTTTGCAGCAGAACACAAATTTTATTATCAGTGGGATAGGGCCTAAGATGCACTCTGACACCTCATCAATTAGTAGAAATTAACCAGATCAAGCTTACACTAATACCAACAAGATTCTGGCCAACGCATAACTACATTTTCTATTTGCTTCAACCTGTCTTCGCCTTAGTTTGACTATTTAAAAAAGGAGAACAATAACACTACCTGTCTGTCACAAATATCATGAGGATTACCAGCTTGGATAGCTCACTGAATTAAGTATCTGCCTGCGCAACCAGAGATGGGAAGTTTGATTCCCTAGGGTGCGTCCTAGCAGAAGAGGCAGCCTAAGGAGCCTCCACAGTCTGTGGGTGCCCCCAAAAGAAGATAAAGGTAAACCACTTCTGAGTATGCTCTACTTGGAAAACTCTGGGAAGGGTCACCATAAGTCTGAACTGATTGGATGACACACAAGTGTTATTTTGTAATTAAGGACAGTTGTGAATCCTTTAAAAATTTGTGTAGTTGACATTTTGACAGATATAATATGCCACTGGAGTTAATTATTTTTCAATGAATAGTACTAGTAATAGTATAATATTCTTAGTCTTACATAAGAAAGGTGCACACACAATGGCCAGTGAGTTTGCTATGTACTGTTTTGATTATTTGTACTCAAAATAAACTGAAAAACAGGAAAATGTATATTCTGCACCAGTAATTTTAGTGATATATGCTTTTCAACTAATAGAAATAGCATCCAATAGCTGCAGCAAAAACACAGTCACACAGCAATAGAAACATACAAGAAATAATTTTCTTTATCTTGTTACTTCTATCAATTATGCTGAGAATACTCAAACATTGAAGTATGCATACTAGTAACTATGGTACCCTTACCGGTATCCCCTATCTTGTGAACTGAGAATTTTCACATGACCTTTATCAAACAGGGATCCGCTATAGAGGTTCTTTGGTCTTTGAAAATGTGGTTTTGGTTCAGTTTTGGATATGCTTCAGAGAACATGAAGACTTTTCAAGGCATTACTGACCAAAGGAGTTTAAATAATTTGTTATACTATTTCCAATATTTATAATCAGAAATAGCAATTCCCATTTGGAAAGGTTCTGATCTAATATGCAAAGTATTTATGATAGTCAGCAGGAAACCCAATCTGCCTTTGCCTCTGCACTCTAGAACTGGTGTAACTTTTCCATTAACTTAAACAAATGCTGCAGTATTTTTAGACCATGTAATTACCCTGCATCAGCAAGCAGAGTCCTGTGAAAAAACACTGGAGAAAGATTCAACCTCTGTTTCTTTGCTTATAAAACCATGAAACCCAAATCCTCGGATGTGGTGATTAATGAAATGCCTCATGACCATTTGATATGATCCCACTTGCTGAGGTAAATTGTTTTAGTTTTCCACTGGCATACATAGGATTCTTTGGCACGACTGGAAGGCAAAGACTTCACACTTTAAAAAGATACACCATTCTCTGTTAATGCAGCACTAGGAAAGGATATTACAGATATTAACCTCTTCCTTTCTCCTTAAAGATAAAAGAATATGACTCTTTCAGTTTTATTCAAACTATTACCTATATTTGCAAATCTTTATATTTTAAGAACTGCATTCGCTTCATGTACTCCTCAGTTCAAAACTTCAACAACAATATGATTGAAGGAATTTGTCAGGAGGTAACAAGCATTTAGCAATGACAAAATCTGTCATTTTTTTGTGAAGTCGGAGTGTGCCAGCGAACAGCTGCAATATAGCCTCATCTTAACATGCCCCCACAGATTTACAATGCTGCTATTAACACTTTAATTTAGTGGTTGGCTAGCACGGAATTATTCGACATGCAGTTGGCCCCTTTTGTCACAAAAACCAACAGGGTGGTAGATGTACAATCTCCCTACATGAAACTTCATTTCTTGCAGCATTTCCTGTTTTTCCTTTTGATTAAAAAAGAGAGACTATTTTGCTTAACAGAAATATACATTATCATTTTAACAATAAAATGAAATAAACTACTGGACTGTTTCAGGAAATGCAGAACACTTCTCACCAAGATCACAGATTACTTGTAAAAGCTTTAGGTGCACCTGAAGTATCTGTTTATCTTATTTTGATGAGTGGCTTTCAGGTTGTGCAGCCCAATAAATTCATCTTACAGCAGTCTTCAGTGCCATCAACCACTGTCTGAGCTGCCCATCACAGGTCAGGCTGGGCAGCATTACATTGTGCTAGTTTGGTCTTACCTTGAAGGTAGAATTAGTGCAGCAGTGGATGGTGCAGGCACTGGACCTTAAGGGTTCAAAAGTTCCTATCCTGTTCCTATGCTGTTTAAATTTACATGAAGCCATTGTTCTTTGGAGCTTTTTGAATACAGTGTTGTTGATATACAAAACAAACACATATCTCTGTTTCTTTCCCACCAAAACCCATGGAAACATTAGATAAACTTATTTTGAAAGTAATCCAGACAAGATGACAGAGCAACAGGTTGCCAGATGGCTTTGATGCTGCTATACAGCCATGAATTTTTGAGATGTGACAGTACTTCCTTTGAGGAAGATGCACTCACTGAGATGAGGACAAGATCTACCTGCATATCCATAGAGATGCAAGTGTCAGTAATCACATGTTCAAGAGAAAACGAAGACAACTGGCTGAAACAGAGAATGCATTCAGCGAATAAAAAATATCAATAAATGGGTGTTTGCATTACCCTAATGGATTTACATCAAACTACTGTAGTGCATGTGCCCACAAAGAAGCTTGTTTTGTACCCCTAATCTTCATATGCAGGATCTGCTAAAGCAGGGGTCAAAAACATGGAGCACCTGACGTAGCCATCACAGGCAGTTTGCACCACCAAACTCTGCCTCTGGGCTCCCACATTCCAATTTGAATTTCTTTTAGCATTTTTTCTTTAAAAATTAACTTTGCATCTTTGGGGAGGGCTGTAACACTTTCCAAAGCACCCCCCAGATTCCTCCACACCCTTCCCCAAATAATTACATTTTAAAAATTGGCTGCAGAGCATAGAAAATGGCTTCTTCAAATTAAAAAAAAATTTTTTTTGATTGAACCCATTTTTCTGTTAACAAGAATAATATTAAACACAAATTAGCCTTTTTTTCACTATGCCCTTAGCCTTCAACCAATCTCTGTCAGGCTGCTAGTAAAAGTCAAAAATGGTTCTCTATCCCACTCCACACCACTGTTCTAATAAGACTAGTAGTAATTGACACATAATATTATTTGGCATTATAGTACATACTGGATACATGTATTCATATTTATAATCTAAGAGAATTACAATCTAAAGTACCATCACATGAACTTGCATTTTAGCACAGGTAGGCCAATAAGCAAACAGCTGCTGTATTTCCCTTGATCTTGCATTTAACGTTTAACACGAATTTTGTAAGAATTATAGCAAATTCTTTTCAGTAATTGTGACAGAACCCTCACCAAATTTGCCCAGCAATAAGAGAAAGAAAAAGATTGGCCAGAAGGAGATGGAAAGAAGAGCCAATCCAGAGAGGCCAACAAAAAGAGAGCTGAAGAGGACGGAGTAAGAGAAGGAGCTAAATTGTAATTAAAGAAGGGAGTCTGAGTTTGGAGTGGGCTATATAAGATGATTACTTTGTAGCAAGGAGAGCTAATACTGGCCTGGGAAAGTTGATACTCACAATTCATTTAATTTCAAATTTAGGAAAATGCAGTTTACCAATTTATATATTTAAATAAAGATCTTCTTTTTATGTTTCAATTTAAAAATCACTTGAGATGTAAGGGAATTCATAGGGTGATTAGCCTGGATAGGGCTGGTCACAGGAATGTAGCCACCAGGATTCATATTCATATACTTACCTACAAGTTCAAAAAGAGTCGACAGTCTGAAAGCCTCAGAGTGATGGTACTTTACAACATTCACAGATGACGCTGAAATGTGGATAAAGGCTCCAGGCACTGCAAATGATTCAAAGGAACTATATCCTGAAAGCCACGTGTTTTTGTGGATAGCAAATGTTGATCTATTCTGAAAACTCTCGTTTCGTTCCCACTTAGAAAGAACCAGTGTATTATTGGAAACTAAAGAAAGAAAGTAATTTGGTCTGTCAGCCGCTTCAAATGAAACCAAGCTTGGATCTGAAAAACAAGCAGCAGTAACAAAATATTACTTCCTAAGCCATGCAGAGTTTACAGAGATCAGCCTCCAGTCCACTGAAGTACATTTTGATTATTTGTCTGTTTCGTAAAGTGCAACCAGACTCCGTCACACACGGTTTAGTTCCAAATTATCTATTTTGCCAGATATTACATTATCATTGCTTTAAACAGAATCACTTATACAAAGCATTTCAGTGCATCAATTTTGTAGAAATAATTTTCACTTTGACGTTTAACCTAATTATTCTTTTTGGTTGGAGGTTAAAACTCTCTCATAGTGCCCAGTATACCACAAATACCTTACCTTTCATGAAAATAATGAGAGAGAGAAAAAACCTGCAGAGTCTCGTTTTTCAGTTTCTTCCACATCAATTGACCACTGAGTCCAAGAAAATATCATGTTGAATGTTAAGAAAATTCTATGTGTTTTGTTCTTAGTTAGGTTTCATACAAAAATTTCAAAAACCTCCTTAAAAAGTAATCAACCTGGTTTATCATAGATCTTATTGTATTGCAATGGTCAGTAAAAGGGTGACAACAAATTGCAAATGTGCATCTGTTATTCAAAATACTATTTCATTGTACATTGTGTTAGTCTGTTGAAACATAACCATAAAACTACTGTAAAATCAACTGTCTGCCTCAGGACTGGGTAATGTTTTCTTTAGAAGTGCTGCAGGCAGAAAAAATAATCTCCAATAAACAGATGTTATATGATACACTGCTCATTACTCTGGAATAACATCTCATTTTCCAAAATAACACTTATTTACTGGGTGAATCACAATTGCACAGAGAGATCTTTTGGATATTTTCTCACTTATATGTTAACAACTGGAAAATGAGCAATACCTGCAAAAATTACAGATATGTACAACTTGTTGAAATTTGACTGGGACTCAAAAAGAACTGGTAACCCTCAAGGGAAGTGAGCTTCAAGAAGGATTCATAAACTGAATGGGCCATATCAGTCAACACTTCTCCTGATCAAATTCATGCATACAAATGGGAATATGTGCCTGCCACCTCCTCCCTTCTGGCACATCCGTCCCTGATCACAACATTCACACAGAATGTGCATATGTAAAATTAAACATGTGCAGATTAATTTCATGTACATTCTGTTCCCTTTCATCCAGAACTCACTAACAGATCATGCAAACTGGGCTTATGTTCACTAAAATTTAAATCAATAAGTGCAATAGTATTCAAATATTGCAGTTCCAGCATGTTTGTCTTAAGACATCAGTGGCAGATGGGGACATGCCAGTTAGGCCAGAGGGAGAAGGTATGTTATTGATTCCATCCACATGAACAAGCTGGATTATGTTCATTGCTTTTTGTTAGAAAAGGGGGCATTTTCCTTCAGGAAATAAAGTGATTGTGCAAAAGGCAAATGCTTCTCAGAAAAAAAATGTATAGGCAAATTTAAATTCCACCATATGATGGAAGACTGTATACTAAGATTCTTTCATCAAACATTGTTCACCCTCTATAATTTTTCAGATATTTTTTCCTGCAATTTGTATTATTCCACTAATGTTGTTTTAGTAATTTCTGTGTTTCTTATTTTTCAAGAATGTTTTTATATCATACAAAAATTATTCTTAACTTTAATTCAGGGACCATTTCTCACATTACCTATTTTCCTTTATTTTTAAAATCATGCAGTTTAAAATGGCAGAAAACATGCATCTCTGATGTGCTCACAGTCACATACAACTGAACTATACAGGCAAATCATAACCGGGGCATTTCCAACAATGCTATATCAACTCAGTCACCTATTACTCAGGTGTATTTCTTATACTGGCATCCAGTTGCTCACCTACATGTGCTTTATCCAGGTGTTAAGAAACGTGGAGTCAACATAACTAAAAGTAGCTATGTTGGACATAATCCAAAAAACCTTATTATACGTATGGGTTTTTACTCAAACACAGTCTTACTACCTGCCAACCAACTAGACTGTGAACTTGATTGACCTAATCACTCAAACCTCACTAATTCTACAGCTGACAAGCCACTGCCAACTTCAAGATTTCCTCCCAAACTTTTCTAACTTTATTTCTGCTACAGTCACTGTCAAAAGAGTACTGGGTCTACAAAGTTGTTTGTCTGAAAGCTGAAGTGTCAGACTATTTATATATCAGTAACCTTCCAGTTTTAAAAAAACAATACACCACTTGCTGTATGAAGAACTTAGCAGGCGGCTTTCTTCTTGAGAACCTACTGAAAACTGTAGAGGAAGGTTTAGTCTTCAGCCTTTCAAACCTAGGTTACAGCCTGGCACATCTACCTTGTCAGTACCTGAGTATAGAAACTTCCTTGACTAGATCAAAAATCAAATCTAGATTTCTATTTCCTATAACAGTCAGGCAGAGGTAGCTGAATAGGCACAAGTGGGATACAAAACTACAGTTTTTCTGTTGTTTACATCCAGCATCTGGTGTTGAAGGGTAAAATGTTTTTGATTCAGACATTAGCTTCTGCAAGTCTCTAGGTATTCCACAGTGAGTTTACCATGTGCTTTGGGCTTATACAGCCCTGATGTCAGCATGAAGTTCACTGCATCCCCAGGAGCAAAGGAATCTCTTCTTGCTTGAAAAACAGAACCATCCAGTAGTTTGGCACCAAGTGCAACTTTTCCATCCAAGTAGCTGACCAGCATGTAAGGACCCTTTCCCAGAACTAAAAAGAGAAGGCAAGGTTATGTTTCCTGTTGAATGCCACAAATGCTTGCATCTCATATGTTTATTAATCTGTTGTACAGTAACGCAGAGAACATCAACTAAAAGCCTTTGAATAAATAATGTTTCACTGAAGTTATATACCTAAAAATAACAATGTTTTATTTTAGAAATGAATTTTTAACCATATCCTCCTCATCTGTTAAAGTGAAAAGTACTAATTTTATTAGAGTTTTCCCCTATATTACTTTTCTGACTCCACGTAGAATAAGCCACACATCATAACTCCTATTAAGCTGAATTATTAAAGTGGATAGTTAGAGATCAGCAACAGGTGAAGGGACACTAAAACATGCAGGGGGGGGAGGGGAAGTGGACTTCTAGACAGGTTTCCTGCATACTCCCCTAAAACAGTTAGAAGCCAATGGTTGTGCAAGTGCAAAGTGGCCACAAGAGGATGGCAAAGGTGGGTAGGATTCAGGCATATGTCTTGTGACAGCAGGAGCTGTGACATTGGCATGGTAGAAAGCAAGCATTCTGCTGCTTGTTTCCATTTCGCCATAGGTCTAAAGGGAGAACTGACTTGGAAAGTCATGGCATTTTTTTTCCTGAGCCCAGTTTCTCCCTAGAATATTTGAAACCAGGGGTGGGTAACATACGACCGTTCAGCTATTGCTGGACTGTACCCTATCACACTTCCTCACTGGCTATACCACATTATAGGGTAGACAAGGTAAAGTACAGTACAACAACATCTAGAAAGTCATAGGTAGCCCACGACCTTAAAGAATGATGAGAAGATCCACTTATAATAAAATCATGGTGGCAAAGTGCAATAATTTGCCTCAGATAATTTTCTTGTGCTAATCCTTCACTCTAACTGCAATATATTTTTAAAGAAGCTTACGTTATATGTTATAAGAAGTTATGTGTTTTAACAAACTGAAACCCAATACACAGACACTCACTAAAAAGTAATGCAAATGTTTTTCAGATGCATCATATTAATTTATAAAAACAAGAGAGTTGCTAAAGTGGTCTTTAAAAAAAAGAGGACTGAGGTTGAGATAAATAAAAACTATAATCTTTGGACACTTCTCTAACCAGTGGGTAAGATGATAGGTGACAGATATCTGGCTTCCACATTTTGAAACTAGATCCCTCTAACCATTGGCTGAGTTGTCATAATAGTGGAGAATATTCATAAATATTAGCTGCTTACGAATTAAGCTATCGACATGAAAGGTCTCTGTGCTGCTGTTGGATCAATACTGATTGATTTCATTGAACTTGACCCAAAACTTGCCTTTCTTTAACAAAAATGAGGGGCACCATATAGTAAATTTTAAAGATACAGCATTCATAAAAATTAGCTAAAATAGTAACTAGAGCATTATATTAGAAGGCAGAATAGAAAGCTAAGTAGAAATATATATAATGACAAAGGTGAGCATTTTCAAGATGATTTCTTGCTTGTGTAGGAGACAGTCATACAGCCTTACTGTATAAGAAAATGTGGGTAGTGGACTGAGTGATGGACTAAGACTAAAGAGACCAGGGTTCAGGCATGGAATTTACAGGGGGAAGTGAAACTGGTAAAACTACTCCTTGTACATATCACATGTTAAAAAAAATACTCACAAAGGAAGTAGCATTATAAAATGATATCTGCCAATTTCATATAGTAACTGTGGATCTGATTAGAAAATGTTTGTGTTTAAAAAAAAATGGGAAGAGAGGAGATAGGTGATTACCATAGTTTACAAACTAGCTCCCTCCTGTGGTTCTTCAGAAAAATACAAAATTTCCAAAGTAGCAGCTGTGGTTGTTCAGAATTATGGAAAAGGGAAAGTAAAGGGAAAAAGGGGAAAAAACAGAGTGCAAAATATTGTGGCACTTTAAAGACTAATAGTTTATTTCAATATGAGTTTTCATGGATTAAAATCTTCTTTTGTATCTGAAGGAGTAGATTTGGATCTACAAAAGCTCACACTGATATATCAACTCCTGCAACATCGCTGAAACCAGATGTATTGGCTCTTGCCTTTCCATTGGACTATTTCAGTGACATGGAGAGGGGGGATTTGCTGGTTGGGTAACAGCCTATCCTCCATATTATTTTACCTAGGCTTCGTGCCCTGGAGAGAACACTCCAGATTCGAGTACAGCGTCAAAACACTAGACGCTGTTCCAAGTCCTCCATACAGAGCACGTTACCATAGTCTCTCGAAACTGAAGGATGCCTATGGATGGCACAATATTTTCCTTTTTTCCTTATCCTCTTCTCCTTTCCTTTTCCTTTAATTTTGCAAACATATATTTTCACAGTTTTCTTTTTTTTTTACAGTACAGGAAATGCAAACATTTGACAGTACTGAAGTATAGCACCATGATGCTGTAGTACTTGAAAGTGTAGAACATGGTTGCAAAAGAAACAAGAAATAAATATCATCAGAGCCAGAAAATGCCCAAATGCTGGAACTGGCCATAAATGGTTGCCTTATCATCACATCAGGAATGACATTTATCTCAAACGGTGAAGCCCTGTCCCTCTCATAGTGATAACTTTTGTAAGCATGTAAAATTCTGGGATAGTGTCACAATAAAGAACAGGGGGAAAAACAACCCTAAGAGTGGCTAAGATACTAAGCCCGCATTATTGTCTCCTTACCATGATATCCCTCCAAGCTTGGTACTCTCAGCTAAAATACTGTTCAAAATATGAGCTACTAGCAATGGGTTCCCAAACATTAGGGCCCCAGATATTCTTGTCTTGCTTACAACTCCCAGAAGTCCTGACCTTTGGCTAGTGCTAGCTAGGGCTTTTGGAGATGCAGCCAAAAAAAAAAAATTAAAAACTTTTTTAAAAAACCCTCATCTGTTGCTCCAATTTAAGGGATCACTATACTAGAAAGAATAGAAACCTGGTGTGAGGTGCCAAAATAATTTTGTAGATTGATTGTCCAGACCATTCTTAGGGAGCAAATATGCTATTTAATTTCAGAAGTTAACCAGAAGCTTACAAGACCCATATGTGTAATTTCTTAAAAATTGTAAGATACACTGCTTCAAATAAAATGGATACATGAAGACGTTTCTTAGAAGGTGGCCAGAGAGAAAACACATCACAGTGCCCCCCATTAATTGCTTACCTTTGTTGATATATTCACAGTCATAAGCTAAACGGGGAGAAAAGTGAACAGTTAGACATAATGAAATGCATATAGCAATCATACATGACATGCATATAGTGTATAATATTTATACAGACTTCAGTATAATTCAAAGTAGGAAATGAAATTAAACAGTCTCTATGAACTTAAAAAGTCTATCCATTGGATCTTTTTCGGTACTGTCAGAAAACATATGCTGCAGACTACTATATATGACACAGTATCAAAAATAATCTGCTTAAATGGATGGTTATCCTTTTATGACCTCTAGTGGATAAGATTAACTTAGCTGTCCTTCCTATAATGCACAATGATATCTGAAGTTTCAGTATGCAAAAACAATGCTTTTTATCAGAAATATTTTTAAAAGTAAGTTATTCAAATGAATTATCACAGAGAAAGCAGAGTGCAGGACATCATTTGATTTCCCCCCTCCAAAAAAAACCCAACTTGTACAAGCTTGGAGTGTTTTACTTCTGCAAGGATGCCTCATGCTTCAACTGACATTTCCTGGAAGTCACTTAACTGAATCCCATTTTAGCAGATAATTTTAAATTTTTCCATGTTTCTATGTTTCAATCTTTTAATTTTATTTAAAATCATATATTTTTTTAATTTGTGTTTTAATATTCAACTTATTGTGTTTTAACTGTGTGAATTTTAATGCTGAGCTGACTTGGGTCACTTTGTGAAATGCATCATCATCATCATCATCATCATAACAACTACTACAACAACTACTACTACTACTACTTCTACTACTACTACTACTGCTGCTGCTTGCTGCTACAGGTACTTTCTCCTATTATAGGCACTAAGAACATCTTTCTAGATTTGTAAGAAAGTTATGTTTCTGATTGTGCTTTTACAAATGGATATAAAGTCATAAGATAGTGTGTATCATATAGTATATGAACCAAAAAGTTAGGTCAAATAGTTCAAAATAAGATATAAATATGGAACACACAAGCAACGTGGTGGTGGTGGTGGTGGTGGTGATAATCAACGACATACACAACAAAAATATGGTATTAATATATAATTTAAAGTATCCCCCATTAAACTAAATTAACAACAAAGGACAATACACATAGCCTTAAAGTAGCAATGCTTGGGATCAGGATATTCCTTGGGAGGAAAAGGAAGTTATAATCAGGGTGCTACCAAAAATAGACACTATTTATTCAAGACCATTACTCCTTCCAGCAAGAGGATAAAAGAGCCCAGGGCACCGGCAGTTATTTCATGATTGCTCTGTGTTGAATGTCATAGCACAGGTTAAGGATTCTTGAAGGGAACAACTGGCTGCAAAGATGAAAGGTTCGGCTTTATTGTTCCACGGGATCCGTTGCCATGAAGAAGAACGTTTGGCAGAAGATGAGTAATATCTCACAAGGGTTGGGAAAATGTGTTCACCAATAATACAGCAAAACTTTACACTGAATTCTGCATGAGTGAAAAAGTGAAAAAGACCCATGAAGGACAGAGGGGCACTAAGTTCCAAAGAAAGTAATGCACAGGAAATTGGGCCAGTATATAGGAAGCCACCAAGAGTCAGGGAATGAAACAGGAGAGGATGACTGAGGGTTTCAGATGTGTCCATACCAATACATCAACAGCATGGGAAATAAACAAGATGAACTTGAAATAGGAAGTCAGATGATATGGCATTTCTGAAAGCTGATGGAATGGATGGGATGTAATTATTGAAGGTTATACTTTATTCAGAAAGAGTAGACAATAGGGAGGATGAGGAGCAGCATTATACGGAAAGGATGTGTACACCTGCAAGGAGCTCTATTATTTGAGCATGGGAGGGTTTTAGTAAAGCCAGAGGAGGAAGAGGAGGAAGAACAAAGAAGCCATAGATCTGCTGGAGATGGAAAGATGCTTACAGGTGACAGAAAAAAGGCCAAACTACTTAATACATACTTCTCCTCTGTCTGTTCCCCCAAAGGAAGATACTGCTCATCTAGGTGGGGAGAAAATACTATAGTGAGAGAGTTGCTACCCAAGATAAGGCATGGGAATATCAAACTACAATGAAAATGTAGATGAATCTAAGTCTTCTGGACCAAATGAAATGCATCCAGGAAAACTAAGGGAACTTGAAGAAGTAATCCCAAAGAAGTAATCTCCATAACCGTTGGGAATTTTTGTAACAGATAAGGTTCCAGCAGGATATGGGCAAATGTTTTCTCCATGTGGTGCAAATGGGGTGAAGGTATTATCCAGGCAACTACTGACCAGTCAGACTGATACAAAAAAAAGTTCTGGAAAAGGATGCAGTGATCACTAAGAGCCAGATGGGTTTTCAAAAACAAGTCAAGACAAACTATTGTTACCTCATTTTCTACCAGAATTACAAGCTTGGTAGATGAGGGAATACTGTGATTTTGTATATCTTAATTTCAGAAAAGCTTCCAGTAATATTCATGATATTTTTGCTTACAAACTAGCAAGATGTGGGTTAGATGAACATTACTGCTAGGCAGATTTGGACATGGATAAGAAGACATACCTTAATAGTGTTCACTAATGGTTTGTCCTCATCTTGGAGACTTGCCACAGCATTCTGCTCTGTGCAGATGGCAATATATTCTCCATCAGCCCAGGGCAGAACATTGCTGTGGGAATATATTTACAATGATTTGAATGAAGAAATTGAGGGGTTGTTTACCAAATCTACAAATGATGCCAAATTGGGAGGGGCAGCTAGTATTTCAGAGGACAGAATCAGGACTCGAGATAACCTTAAGAGACTGATATCTAGGTCAAAACAAACAAAATGAATTCTATCAGGAATAAATGTCAAGTTCTATATTTAGGCGAGGCAAAAAGTATCAGATGCAGAAATAAAGAATGGCTGGCATCTGGCTTGGCAGTAATACATGTGAAAAGGATATAAGGGTCATAGCTAAACAAGAGGAAAATACCCTAATACAATTCTATGCTGCATCAACAGAAGCATAGTACAGTGGTGCCTCGCATTACGATGTCAGTTCATTCCAGCGAAATCACTGTAGAACGAAAACGTCGCAATGTGAAAACAAAAAGCCCATTGAAACGCACTGAAACCCCTTCAATGCGTTCCAATGGGCTGGAAACTCAACGTCCAGCAAAGATCCTCCATAGGGCGGCCATTTTCGGTGCCTGTGGAGTGAGGAATCCATCCCAGAAAACAGCAGGGAGCCATTTTATTTACCTGGTTGCCATTTTGAAACTGCCGATCGGATGGAGGAAAATCGTCGTTTTGTGAAGAATCTGTTCCCGAAGCAGGGAACTGATCATTGCAAAGCAGAAAAAACCCATTCAGACCATCATTTTGCGATAGCAAAAAGATCGTCATAATGTGGTTTTGTCGTAATACGGGGCAATCGTAAAGCGAGGCACCACTGTAAACCAGTTCAATGACACTAATATTGCCACTCTATTCTGCTTTGGTCAGAATTTCTGCTAGAGCACTGTGATCAGTTCTAGGTATCACAGTTTAAGAACAAGCTAGAAAATTTCAAGAGAAGGGCAATCAAGATGGTAAAATGTCAGGAAACCAAGCTCTTGAGGAATGGTTGAGGAAATTGCTTATGTTCAGCCTGGAGGAAAGAAGACTAAAAGGTCACACGATAGCCACCTTCAAATACATGAAGGGCTGTCATGCAGAAGATTGTGTTTACTGCTCCAGAGGGTAGGACCAATGGGTTCAAATGACAAGGATGGACATTTCAACTGAACTTTGGGAAGAACTTTCCTACAGTAAGGGCTGTTCAACAATGTTGACTCTGGACTCTCCTTCATGGAAAGTTTTTAACCTGCTGTTTGATGGCTTTAGCTGGGATTGCCTACATTGGCTGGAAGTGAGTCCACATTATTTTCTTTGCACCTCCAACTCTGCAGTTCTATGATTTGATGATCTCAGGTTACCTTAGCACAGGCCATGCACACTGTGGGGATCACAAAGCCAGCAACTAATCTTAAAGCATGAATTGGTTGGCACTGGGTGAGACATTCCTTGGTGCACTTGGGTCCTACATCATTTAGGATTTTGCGGACAATCTGACAGCAACAGTCTGTAGCAGCTGCTTACCAGTCAGATGTCATGGCTATCTTTCCCATATCCATCTTCCCTTTATCCACAACACTGCTAATGTTGGCATTCCAGAATTCTCCTGTGCCCCTTAATTGAGAACATTTGGCTTCTTTGGATGAAGTACAAACCTCAGTGGAAGGAAATACCACTTCCTACAAAATGCTCTTACTGAAGACTAAACATCAGCTAATGCATGCTATACTGAATAAAGTCCAATTATTTCAGCAATAGTGGCATTCAAGGAACTCCTGTTCTTCCTCAGTCAACAACTGATGCAATTTGGTGTAAGATAAGACTAACTATGGACTAGACAATGCAAAACTATATATTTAGTGGATAAAGTTCCTTCTCAGTCTTGCAAGTTCTGCTCTCACTCGGCTACTCATCCTCTTACACCCCTCTTACACACTTCTTTGGACTGTGGCTTGGAGTTACACATTGTTGACATAAAAGGATGAATTAATTACTAATGACATACAAACACACTTGTAACTTCTCCTGGAAGGATCATGCATAAGAGTTAGACTGAAAAAAAATGGGCCAGTAGAGTACTGAAACAGTGAAGTCTTATTATCATACTTACGACACAATCTAGGGGATCTCCAGTCTACCATAACTCCTTGTTGACAGCACTGATGTGCATAGACTGAGACACTTGTACAGAAACATTCACAATCCCCTCCCTGGTTACAACCACATGTGTCTGTCAAACAATTTGAGTAATACCAAGTGACATCAACCTGAGGAAGATAAAAGTAATTATTTCTGCAATATAACATTGCTTACTAAAAACATTGCTTACAACAGTGTTTTTAACACAGGCTCATTTTTCAAGAGCGCAATTAAAACATTTTGGATTTTATTCTAACAGGACATGACATGTAGGACAGGACATGACAATATCATTTTATTATATGAAGAAAGCTTAGCAGGGGCATGTGGCTGGGATTTTGAGTACCACCCGTTCACAGGAATATATCACGGCAGTATCTCTGGTAATAGAGATTCCCATAACTGCAGGACAGATAAGATGCTTTCTATGATTTCCTTATCCTATTGTGGCCTCTTGTGCCTGCAAAGCAAGTCCAGAAGCCTCCACATACACCACTGTGTGTCAGTCAATCATGCTATACCATTGCACTGTCAACCCTTAATAGAGCCGATCACTGCAGCCACAGATTACTCCATGGTAACTGCTACAGATCAGTCCATGCTGATGTCTCTTTTCTTCCATTTCGAAAAATATGACAATAGGTGGTAACAGCTACTACAATGCCCAGGTGCACTAGGACCACGTGCTGGATTGCATTCAAAATACAAAATATAAAATTGTGAAGTGATGGCTGTACAACATGCTTCAAAGTATTCCTTGGTTCCCAGATTATTACCCTTTGTAGCATGCGAGACTGCAGGCCAGATAGGATCATTTGCTCATCATGTCTCTTCAGATTAGTAGGTGAACAAGTGGCTCCAGGATATGTGATATGGCAGGGCTAGTCTATCTCTGCTAGGGGTTGCTGCTGCTCCTGCTCCTGCTCCTCCTCCTATGCTTCTTTGCTACAACTAGTATTTAAACAACCTCACAGACAGTCTTAGAGGACACCCCACCCATAATGCCTGTGGTTGCTGCTGCTGCTGCTTCTCCTCCTCCTCCTATGCTTCCTTGCTATAAGTAGTATTTAAACAACCTCACAGACAATCTTAGAGGACACCCCACCCATAATGCCTGGTGCTCAGAACCCCTCAGAGGAAGAAGATGAACTGGGGTTTGTGACCATATAATAAAGAAAAAAGAAAGTGGTTAGGTAAAATGAAAGAGAAGAAGGGAATGTCAGCAAGGAAGAAGAAGAAAAGGGAAATCACCACCACAGGAGACTGTGCTTCACCATTTACTTCAGGCATTGGTGAAAGGATTATGGTAATCCTTGCAAAGTGTCACAGATCACCACAGTCTGGTATTTAACAGTTCACACAACTGGCCTTCTTCAAATTTTAGATCAATCAAGGTCACGATGAAGTCTCATCAAAGATCACTTGGAATCCCATGAGCATCTGATGCAGTTACTAGAGTGAATGCAATTATTGCTACCCATCCTTAATGCTCCCTTGTTACCACAATGTATTCTAAGTACAAACATCAATTCAGGATGTTTGTTTTGTTTTAAAGGTGGTACACTGTGAAGCATGAAAAAAGGGTAAGGATTGTTTAAATCAGGAGGTTATTTTTAATGACAGAATAAACATGACATGACAGCTTTTTTTTTCAAAGTACTACAGGAAAAATTAACTTCTTTTCCACTCACCACTGGATGGCAAGATTCGAACACTTCACTTAACAGTATTCCACATTCCTTCTTGGCAAACAGTTCTCTGAGTGGATTTAAAATGCATGGATGCTGAATGTCAGAGCTGTCAACACACTGAATGCAAAAGTAAAATCATAAACCAAAGGAAAACATTTTTAAAACAAGTGAGGCCATCTAACTATTGAAATAACCAAGAGGTGTAACTGTCAATATCCCAGAGGGAGGGCTGGATAGAGTATGTACAAGAATGCATGAGGCTCATAGTCCCAGTAATGAAACTTGTACAGTGCGGTGAGTAAGTGGAGGGGAGCATGGAAGTAAGCCTTAATAGGCCTCTTGCTGACCCTTCCAATAAAAGTGCACCTGCTATAGCCAACTGCCTTTAATATGTGAAGAAAATTTTCATGACAACTCCCCAAACAATGTTTATATTACTATCCCACCAACACTATTTGATTAAGCAGATACAGTGTGATTGGATAATGTCAGACAGTGGAGTAGTAAAAAAAAGTTCCACATTTTCAGCCATATTGGAATTGTTATTTGATTTTCTATTATATCTCCTATTCTTTAGCTATTTATTCAAAAGCCTATGGTATTTATTCATGTACTCTCCTTATTCTGCCCTCCTCCTTTTACCATTTCTGCCAATAGAAAATCAATTCCAGCACCACAAAACTTCTCAAAATGAATTTTTTAACATCAAGACAAAGAGCAGCATGGGAATTTGGAGGACAGGAGAATTGGAAAACAAAATATTACAAACTTAGAAGCACTTCAAGGTGAAAAGTCTAGCTTTTCTATTCACATGCTTGTACTAGCAATATATACATCAGGTCATTATGTGGACAGGCTTTGTAAGTAGGAAAAGCTCTCTACTTCACATATTCCCCCTAAATGTGGAGGGAAATGGTGACAACGGGGGTAGAACATGTCTGCTCATTGCTGTTCTCTCTCCTTATGTTTAGATTATTCACAAAAGCCAAATAGAGTGAGAAATATTGCAGGAGTATCACTTTAAAAGCTGAAGAACTATGTGGTAAAATGCAGCAAATGATTTTTCATCAGTTATTTACCTCTACTGCTGTCCAGCTACTCCCAAACTCTTGTGCATTGGTCAACTCAAAATTTTCTGGAGTCCTCATTTCATTTATTGTTTTGGAGTCAAAATTCCCACATAACCCAGTTAGCTCACCCTAGAAAGGAGAAAAAGTTAACATACTCAGTTAATAGCACACATATATATCCTACTTAAAGGTAAAGAAGGAATAACTGCTAGTCAAGGACACAGAGAACTCTGCAAGATGGGAAAACAAATCATTCTGGTCATTTAGAAGCCCTCATATATACAGTAGCACAGTCACTTCCCACAAACAGCAGTACCATACACGGCCTCAGATTTCCTAATGGCCATACACCACTTTCAATCAGACTACAAGGATAATTGAACAAAGAAAATAACCCTTTTGGTGTAAATCCAATGTGATGCTAGCAGAATGAAGAACTCTACTAATGCAGGCACACTAGATTTCTCTGCAATCTAAGCAATAATGCAAAAAAACAGTATACATATACAATCCCTCACAGAACCAGATGCTCAATGGAAAACTGTGTTGCATTCTATCACAATATAAACTATCAGTTAACATGGCATTATAGAGATGGGCAGGAACCTTGATTTAGCAGCTGCCCACTCAAAGGCAGTCCTGCGGAATCCCTGCCCTGTCTCCTCATCTGAGTGGGTGGCTGCCGTAAGAGATTGAAAAGAGAAGCACAAGCTCCTCCTGGGACTGGTCAAATGCCCAAAGAGGAAAAGAGCAGTGGATGCTGGCTGGTGAGTGAGAGATCCAGCCAGGGAGTGAAGGAAGGGAGCGTGTGGCACCTGTGGTCTGCTGATCCAGCTCAAACCTCCAAACCAAGATCTGTGGCCATCTCTACCATATTCTAAACTTGCAGCCGACATAAGGTACTTAATGTTACAGTAACGTTGACATCACCTGTCCGTCACTGCTGAAGCTGTATGTCATCTGCCAATAGCGTGACGGAAGGTGGGACATAAGGGGTGGAGCTAGTGTATATAAGGGGAGTGAATGGTCTGCAGCCGACATAAGGTACTTAGTGTCTTTGAAGAATGGATTACAATTCACAAAATCATGCACAGAAATAAACTTCTCAGTCTTGAAGGTATCACAAAACCTTTCGTTTATTTTGTTTTTGTTTTTAGTGAAAGACTATGAAAATTGTGTCCCCCAGATAACATCTGTTTTGCTGGACTACCATAGAAACATTCCAGTTTTATTGCAATATATTCAGTGACAAGGATAAACATAACTTCATTGTGGCCAATTTACTATAGGTGTTTTCTTAGCCATGAACATTACTGTGTTTTATCCCAAATGGATCAGTGTTTATTTATTCATGGTTGCTACAGGTTTTTCGGGCTCTTTGGCCATGTTCTGAAGGTTGTTCTTCCTAACGTTTCGCCAGTCTTTGTGGCCGGCATCTTCAGAGGACAACACTGTCCAAAG